AATTATAATTTTCAATATCTTAGAATATTAAGTATGGAAGGCCCCTTCCAAAGCTTATTTAGAAAATACCATGCTTAATTTTATAGGCCATCTAGGTAATTTTGAATGCAGCAAAATTACTCAAGTTGGCTTCATTTGGTTATGAATATCAATACTAACTTTTGATGTCACTATTCTCCTTTCATTTCAGCCACGTTCAGTATCCTTGGAAATGTGCTGATTGAACTATAATTTAAAATGAATAATCTTTTATTTATAAAAGATTGAGTCATAAATAGGCAGAATCAACCCATGCTTTTATTTTCATTGCATATAAAAATTTCATATGAAGGTATTGATGTACAGTACTATCCCCGTGGGCTGTAAGAGAGGCTAAGAAACCACTAAAAGAATCATCATTTGTAATTCTCACACACAATTTACCACTCTGAAAACATATCCAAAGAAATAAAAACAACTCAATCAGTTAAGGATATTTTTGTAATTATAGTGTCCCCTTTGCACTGTTTAAAACAAAAGTAATCAAATTCCTTTGGGCCAGGGCTGCTAAAATCTACAGTTTGTGTCAAAAAATAAAATAAAATAAAAGGCTCATTTTTCCTAGAAAAAGAATCTTTCCTTTCATCAAAAAGCCACATGATTGAAGGGCTGGGCAAGCAGTGGGAAGATGCTTCCACATTATCCATTATAATAAATTTTTCCTGCTTTCAGGGGCTGGCCATTGTACAAGGTTAAATATTAAAATTCTAAAGCAATGCAAGTTGTGCTGAAACAAATCTTAGAGGATGGTGAATGCTTTATGCTATGTAAACTGGCATCAGACACAACTTTGTGTTTAAATAGATGGGTTTACATATATATAAGGAAATTTGGTTTATCTTAGTGGAAGAAAATTTAAGGTTGAAAAATTGTATTTTCTTTTTAGTATATTCTCTTAACATGTCAGGAAGCTGATGAATAGATAACTAACCAACATGAGTAAGCTCTGGCTTGAATTTCAAATCAAGTTCATTTTCCTATGAGCTCTAGAAGCCAAAAAGACTTTTAAAAAAAGATTGTTTATAATCACTGAGAAAGAATATATTTCCCAAGTTGTGTTTCTGAGTTTAAAAAAAAAAGGAAATAATCCAATGCAAGTAGCTAAAGTAGCTCCTGATCAACAGGCGGCAAACAAGCATCACACATGCGGTGCCACTCCCTGGCAAGAAGTACTTCAGAGGTTATGTCTCAAAAGGGTCTCAGAATCTTTCAGAGGTTGTCTGTGGTTTTGTAAAATCCAGCTATTGGCAGAATTCTAATCAATTAAAAGCCTGGATGTAAAATGCCCAGCCCTAGCTCCACCGTTACCTTTCAAATGCAGCAAAACAGAAGAAAATATTGGTTAAAGTTAAGGCACAGCCCTGGGACCAAAGACCTGCAGCTATGTTTTTTTAAACTTATATATCTTTATGTATTTTATAGTTTTCTTGAATCTTCCATAAACAAGCTCTAAGGTGACAAGACTATATTACAGGAGAAAAGAAAAATGTACAGAGTATGTATACACACCATTCATTCTCTCACCAAGAGTTTCCAAATATATCAACACCATCCCATCATGGGATGATGTTTTAATAAGAACTGATAATTTACAATTAACATTACAGTATGTACATTGCAATAAATACATGGTTGTAAACAGACAAACAAGACTGTATTACAGGTAAGGTCATTTGGTGAGAAAAAAAAATGCATGGCACAAAAATAAATAATGCATTCAAAAATTATCATAAAGCTTTCTGTAAAATCCATTTCATTCAAGTTTTTTCTTTCCTTGTCTGTAATTTGTTCTATCTACATTAGTTTCTTGTGAATTTTAGCTGACATAAAAGAAAACAAAATTAAAACAGCATTATTGTGTTCAGTAACTTGCAAGCTGAAATGCACTGGCTGTACGCAAACTTGGACATTTTTTTCCCCATACAGTACCCAGATATTGCATTTTCTTATGGCATTTTAGGAAATGTAAAGCCACTCATAAAAGGAGATTCTTTTTTAAAGCAGTGTGTATTTCTGAAGCACACTTTGGCGAGAGCGAAACACAAGGGTAAGCAGATTGTACAGTGCATTAGTCCCCGTCTCTTGGATATTTAGCCTTTTCTGCAAATTGATTGTCCATTAGTGGGTATCTTTACAACATGGTACCATTAAAAACCAACAAACTGGGAAAAAAAAAAAAAGCCTCTCTTTATTAGTGCAGTTATAAACCCTTTACCCTTTCAGGTCTGGATTTGTTAATGACATATTGCTGCTTTTTATCTTATTCATTATTAAGATTCTAGGCACTCTGTGGGGGAAATACTAAGTATAGGAAGGGAGAGGGAATGAGAATGTTTTAGAAAGAGGAATAAACTCTAGACTCTGCCTTTCTTTCTAGACCTCACTCAGGGACAAATAAAAGGGAAACAAGTTCCCAAGTGTTCTTGTGAAACTACTTGGTCAAACATACGTCTTTATTTGAAAGATTACTGTCTGATCTTTATAGATGAAAGACAGTAGAAACCTTATAATTAGCTAGCTGATTCCTATTCTGCCCTATGTAAAAGATCAGAGTTATAAAGACATAATTTTTATTTCAAAGGATCTAAGCATCAGCTAGATCTCAGGGGACTGAAATGGGGATTCTCTTCAGCTTGAGTCATTTCCCTGGCTGATGACTTAGTTTCCAGTCCCCAGAAGACTTCTTGAGAAGTTCCAAATATAAACAATTTTCAGGGTGGTAATTCTTCTTAGATGTTTGATTTTCCATTTGTCAGATACCCACTTTGACCTCCGTCACAATTTTTCAGTATCAACATGAGACATGATGATTTGGGCTTTAAGGTCTTCAGAGAGAAGGTAAATACTTTATTAAGACTGACATGAGAGGGCCAGGCATGGTGGCTCACACCTGTAATCCCAGCACTTTGTGAGGCCAGGGCAGGCGGATCACCTGAGGTCAGGAGTTCAAGACCAGCCTGACTAACATGGTGAAACCCTGTCTCTACTAAAAATACAAAAATTAGCCAGGCACAGTGGTGGGCACCTGTAATCCCAGCTACTTGGGAGGCTGAGGCAGGAGAATCACTTGAACCCGGGAAGTGGAGGTTGCAGTGAGCTGATATCACACCATTGTACCCAGCCTGGGTGACAGGGCGAGACTCCGTCTCAAAGAAAAAAAAAAAAAGACTGACCTGACATGGGAATAAAGTCAAAAATGTCCCATGATGCTAACTGCTATAATCCAGTAAACATTGGGAATTAATATCTAAAACTGTAATACAGTTCCTGGTGCTGGAATCAGCCAAGAGTGATCTCTAATTTTTTATTTAAGCAGAATTTTTACCAATCTAATATTTTAGGATGCATCATAGTACCAACCCTCTGGTGCCAGTGGCATCATCTTCTTTCCCTCCATGTGTTTAAAGAAGTAGTTCCCCTCTGCAAGATATGCTTATGGATCGAGAATAAGTGATAAAGCAATTCCTACATGTTATGTGGCTGTCCATTAAGGAAGAGTACTTGCTACACTTAAAACCATCTCTCAGGGATGTTCCTGATATAGTTCTTAATCCCGTGGTGAAATCATTAAAACCAAAGAGGAATCGTTGTATTGGTGTTTGTGAATATATTGTTAATATTCTTAAAAACTGCCTAGTTAGCAGTTGTTAACTTTTCTCTGTAAACCAAGAGTAAAAGCTAGTCATGATATACAACCTCATGGTTGAAATGAATGTTAACCCTAATTTGACTGTTTCTTTTCACCTGTCACAATGGTGGTGATATATTTGACAAGACTTCATCTAGCAACCATGGACGGAGGTTCAGACACACACTAAATTATAAAGCAGCACGAGGGAAAAAACCTTTCTCTTACTGTAGCTGGCTGTACAAACAATAAAAATGAGCATGAAATGTGCGGATTATTAGAAATACACGCACTTGTGAAATGCACGTCTGTGACACAGCAAAATGTTATTAGAAGACACTAAGTAGGGAAACATCTAAAAAAGACTGACCATTTTAGCTACTGGGTATTTATATATCTCCCACTGGCTTCAGACACACCAACTGACGACTGAGTTTGCATGAAGCTTAAGACACATTTGATATAACACACATTAAAATATTATAGAACAAATAGTTACTTTGCACACTGTGAAGAAAAACATTGGTGAAGAGCAACTCTGCTTATCTGGAAAGAGTGAAACAAAATGTAAAGTAACTAAATGCTTACAAAAAGGGCTTCCTGCAACATAAACTTGTTTTTCTGTTTTAAAATATGGAAGTCATTGATATATAAAACAATGAATCACTACAAATCAGTTAATTGCTATGAACTATAAGGTGCAAGTAAAATTTGTAAATTAGATTTTTATCCAGTGTAGCACAGATTTGTACTGAAAACTTGCAAGTTACTCCTTAGAAAAAAACCAGTGGCAGATGAAGTTCTGAACATAGTTTTTTAAATATAATACCTCAATACATTTAATAATAAAAGTAAGCTCTACAAAAAATCTGTTTTACATATCATACAAAATGTAGAGGTCAGTGCAGCTCACTGAACCACACTATTCAGTCACGTATCAGGAAGACTTGAAATTAGAAAATTATGCAATTTCTGTGGCTCATCCTCCTACTCTTTACAGATTCGTGCTGTGTCCTGTTCTTGACATATTTGTTGCTTTGTCCATTAAGTTCACTCTGTGCAATGCCTTTCTTCTGAAAATATTGCAAACAAAAAAATAGAAACCCCAAATCCCATGAACTTTTGGGCCACCTGATGAGCCACGCTCTCTTGAAAACAATTTGGAGTAGATTTTATCTGCTTCGTCAGCTCTACTAAGCTGAAATCTTGTTAAAATGCTGTTCATGAAGATGTCCACCTTGCTCTGATGATATGGAGGTGAAAAAACTAATTACAATATTCCTGAGCGCCGGACTGAGTAGTCAAGGTCAGTTTTGTTCAACAAACGTCCTGGCAGATGACAGTGAGGTGTGACCGTGGTTGTGGCATGTGACATGCACTTTGGAAACGATTTTTCTACTAAAAAAAAGGCATGAAAGTTTTTGCACTGTTACGTGTCAGGAGAGTGATCATCTATGACACAAGCTTCGGGCTGGCTTTCCTCTTCTTCCCCTACTGCCTCTTCTTCAACCTGTTCATCGAGGGGAATTTCAGTAGACTCCGAGTCTTGAGTACAAAGAGTCTTGGAGTCACTGCAGCTAGTGTCTTCTTCCACTTGACTGCCACTGTCCTTTTCCGTGTCTGACTCACCATCTTCCTCTAAAGTTAGTTCAAACTGGAATTTCTCAGTTTGACCCTGCCGGCCCTCCTCCGGGTCATCAGGTGCAGGAGAGGGGCTCTGAGGGATTGTGCTCTGGTACCATTCACGATTGTCCTCCAAAGTGTCCAAAATGTCCTGGGCGTCAGGGTGGACGAGGTCTGCCCACGTCTCCCAGAGGGGATGAACAATATAGTCTATGAAGCCCACCTAGTTAAGAAAAAAATCCAATATGAGGAGAGGACTTGGGACTAAGAAATAATGGAAAAGCTTAACTAGATCACGACCCACAAATAAAACACTGAACAGAAGATGACTAAGCTTAGTTTGGTAAAATTGTCACTATTTTCGACAACAGACCATATAAAATATTGTTACTAGCTGGTCAAAATTAGCTTCCAGAACCCTTGGTTAAAGAGCACGTGTGTAGCATAAAAAATGTTCCAGTTGTTGACATGGTAGGACTTATTTTAGAATCCCAATTTGTAGGTGAATCCAGATAACTGAAGTAATACCATGTGCTATATGTGTATGAATATATTAAATGAATATAGTCATGATAAATGTGTTCTTAGAATAGATATATGACTATATGAATGTAAGCCATAAGAATGAAAGTTTTTTGGATCATAAATACTAAGATGAAACTGAGTGTCAAAAACAAAGTAATTTTAAAAATCCGATAAAATACTATCATATGTGATACAAAGTAACCAAATGCTAAAGCGGTGGCTCCGTTCTCTCTGAAAGCTGTACATCTCATGTATTACCTGTGATTTTTCCACAGACGCATTGTGCTTATCACACATGGGGCTTATCTCCATGCCACGTTCCCTCTCTCGGTCTCCTTGGCGGAAGAACTCCTCCATTATCCGGTCCGTCCACTGGCGGTACAGTTGGAGAGGCTTTGTTGGGTTGCTCAAATCTGCACAATGCACCATATTCTGAAGAACCTAAAATAGATGGATGCATACGCTAGTCACTCCTCTTCCTTTTTTTAAAAACAAAACAAAACAAAACCAGAAATTCACATTGGATGACTGCAACACTTAAAAATATGCATAGTGTAAGATTTATTCCAGACACCTCAACCATGATGTGTCTGTGTATGGTTCACACTTGTATTAATAGTTCGAAATTATGCCACTTCTGCATCTAAATAGCACAAGAGAAACTGGCTGATTAGATTCAGAACTGCTTAAGTGGCTGGTTCTGTGGGGTGTTAGTTTTTTAATTAATATAGATGCAAATGAAAAGACCAGTAGAATTTTACCTGGTTAATTCTCAGCAATAAAAATTTGGATAAAAATGCTGCCTATAATTGTTACAAGGTGAAGAAATACACCTTCTCAAAGCTGAATACACAGACATATGTGCACATGCGCACAGACACACACAGAGCAAACTCAAATAAGGCTTTACCTGAATCCTATCAGAATAATTATCAAGAAGAAGAACTCCAGAGCTTGTCACTTTCTTAGTTTCAACCATAGTTTTCAAATCAGCCAGTAGATTCATGTGTTTTGACATGTCTGTTGCAAGTACCTTAAAATATAGAGTATATTATTGAGTAAAGTTCAGAGAAAACAAAATTTACATATGAAAATATTATGCAGAATATGAGAAACAAAAAGGAATAAAATAACACTATGCCTTTTAATGACGGTGGAAATCCCTTACTCTTCCTTAGGGCAGAGTCTTTTTCCCTTTTGCTATCAAGTTTTCTCAAAGGCCAGATAAATGTGTGTAATATACAGAAATGTTAGGTACTGACAACACTTTCATGGTGAAAAATGGGATAACATTTCCATGGATAAGGCATCATCACATATTTTCAAGTTTTTCCATTCCTTGGACCAGAAAGTGGTTACTAGACTATGAATGACGAACTGATTCAAGGTTGCTTACAGACTGCTTCAGAAACAAAATATTCTGGTTATTTTCTGCTTTGAAAATACAGATAATTCTTGCCTTTGTATGTACAGGGTTTAACAGAGTAAGGTTTTGAAAGCTAGAGATTTCCCTGTGTCTCATAGTCACTGAATAAGATGCATAGACAAAAGAGTAAAGTCATGGCTATTCTAAATGGCACTGTCTACTGATGAGAGCTTTGGCCCATGCAATCTGCTTTTGTTAGTCATCTTTCTCTGCCTGCCACTAAACTGGAGGGGCTCAGAAAACAAATGATGATGGTGAGCTAACATTACTTTCAACTTCAAACTGCTAGAAGTAAAAAACCTATCATAGAACATCACTGCCAGCATCAGGGGCAGCTTCTGTAGCATAAAGGGCAATAATATGTTGTGAAATGCAGTTCCTTTTACCTAAGCAACTTGCATCACAGTTCTCTTTTTTTGCTTTTATCAGCTACTTACAATGTCAATGACCATTTTCCTTAAAGATTGTCTTTGTTTTTTGGTCAAATTCTGGAAAATGTCACAGTTTTCTTCCTGAAGCAATTTAAAGCCCACAGCCAAATGATGGTTCTCTAAGACTGAGGAATCATTGTACATCAAGGCAAGTTCAGAGTCTGAAAAAAAGACAAGAGGCCAAAGATCAGCAAAGCTGTTTATGAGTTGATCTGATTCTTCAAATTCTAAAGTACTTTGGGTTTAGGATGTAATTTCCCCTAAACTTCTCTGCTCCCCTTATCATTACATGACAATATCCAGGAGAGAATAAATCGGATAACATTAAGAGCAGAAACAACACGAATGAATCTTGGGGAGTGAATTCTAATGCTACTAACATGTGGCAGGTCATTGCACTCTGTGGGTCTCAGCTTCCACTGAAGTGAATGAACTGGATCTTTAACTTCTCCTCTAGAGGAGCTGCCATGAGCTCAGCATAGTATGACATTATTCTTAGTATCTGTAACACATCCAGAGCATAAGGTTTTGTATTCCTGATAACTGGAAATTACCTACCCTGCAATTTATATAATGCAAGGATCATGTGATACAGGATTGTTTGTACTCAAAGAGGGTACAAGAACAATACGGAATCATATGAACAAGTTTAGATTTGCTCATTTGCTCATATATAGCTCTGAAAGTCTAGGCTTTATTCGTTGTTTTCCATTTTCTTTTCCAAGCATAGTGGCAGTCATTGTATACTGTATAGGGATATTGCTCTTCCTGCCTGCTTGCTCACAGCTTCACACAGAGACGTTGTGTTTGGCTGTCTACATACCCTCTGGTGGAGATTCTGCCAGTCTCTCACTACTGCCCTGGACCTGTGAATTTCAGGCAGGGAGAGATTCTGCCTCTCTCTGATTTCTTGTAAATAGCAGACCTAGATCCATAAGATAATCATTAAAAAACTGGGTTGGTGCTTTATTCTCTTTGTACTTAATCACTGTAAAGACTAAAAGCAAATCTGAGGCAGGAGGATTGCTTAAGTCCAGGAGTGCAAGACCAGCCTGGGCAACATAAAGAAAACTCATCTCGACAAATAATAAAAAATTATCTGGGCATTGTGGTGTGTGCCTGTAGTCCAGCTACGTGGGACACTGAGGTAGGAGGATTGCTTGAGCCCAGGAGTTCAAGGCTGCATTATATTGTGCCACTATACTCCAAGCTGAGCAACAGAGCAAGACTCTGTTTCCAAAAAAAGAAAAAAAAGGCTAAAAACACGTGTTTGATCTTTTTTTCTGACAAATACATAGAAAATATATTTGGAAATATATATCCTTTTCTAAGAAATATCCAATACTATTCACTGGCTATTTTAGTGGAGCTAGGAAGGAGAGGAGAGGCTTAAGACATTTTTCAACTGGGAAATTCTATTATTTTATTGGAACTACAGAAATAGAAATTTGCATACTTAAATTTCTGCTCCCAAACTACAGGAACAGAGCTGTTTAGTAGGGAGTAGGTTTGTACAGTTTTTTGTGTTTTTTCTTTTTTCTTTATTTTATTTTATTTTACTGCATTTTACGTTTTGGGGTACATTTGAAGAACATGCAAGATAGTTTCATAGGTACACACATGGCAGTGTGATTTGCTGCCTTCCTCCCCTTCACCTATGTCTGGCATTTCTCCCTATGCTATCTCTCCCCAACTCCCCACCCCCCACTGTCCCTCCCCTATTTCCCCCCAACAGACCCCAGTGTGTAGTGCTCCCCTCCCTGTGTCCATGTGTTCTCATCGTTCAACACCCACCTATGAGTGAGAACATGCGGTGTGATTTTCTGCTCTTGTGTCAGTTTGCTGAGAATGATGGTTTCCAGGTTCATCCATGTCCCAACAAAGGACACATGTTTTTGCTTTCTTTAGATAAAATCGTGTTTTCAAAAATTGTACTTTAAGTTCTGGGGTACACATGCAGAACATAAGTGTTTGTTACATAGTTATACACATGCCATGGTGGTTGGCTGCATCCATCACCTGATCAACATTAGCTATTTCTCCTAATGCTATCCCTCCCGTAGTCCCCTACCCCATGACAGGCCCTGGTGTGTGATGTTCAACTCCCACTTATGAGTAAGAACATGCGGTGTTTGGTTTTCTGTTCTTGTGTTAGTTTGCTGAGAATGATGGTTTCAGCGTCATCCATGTCCCTGCAAAGGAAATGAAACTCATCCTTTTTATGGCTGCACAGTATTCCATGGTGTATATGTGCCACATTTTCTTTATCCAGTCTATCATTGATGGGCATTTGGGTTGGTTCCAAGTCTTTGTTATCATGAACAGTACTGCGATAAATATATGTATGCATGTGTCTTTATAGTAGAATGATTTATAATCCTTTGGGTATATACTCAGTAATAAGATTGCTGGGTCAAATGGTATTTCCAGTTCTAGATCCTTGAGCAATTGCCACACTGTCTTCCACAATGGTTGAACTAATTTACATTCCCACCAACAGTGTAAAAGTGTTCCTATTTCTCTAATCCTCTCCAGCATCTGTTGCTTCATGACATTTTAATGACTGCCATTCTAACTGGTGTGAGATGGTATCTCAATGTGGTTTTGATTTGCATTTCTCTAATGACAAGTGATGATGAGCTTTATTTTTCATATTTGTTGGCTGTATGTCTCCTTTTGAGAAGTGTCTGCTCATATCCTTCACCCACTTTTTGATAGGGTTGGTTTTTTTTTCCCTGCAAATAATTTGTTTAAGTTCTTTGTAGATTCTGGATATTAGCTCTTTGTCAGTTGAGTAGATTGCAAAATTTTTCTCCCATTCTGTAGGCTGCCTGTTCACTCTGGTGATAGTTTCTTTTGCTGTGCAGAAGCTCTTTAGTTTAATTAGATCCCATTTGTCTGTTTTGGCTTTTGTTGCCATTGCTTTTGGCGTTTTAGTCATGAAGTCTTTGCCTATGTCCTGAATGGTATTGCCTAGGTTTTCTTCTAGGGTGGTTTATTTTTTAAAAGGTAGTATCTGGTTAACTTTTAAAGTGTCTATAAACGCCTTTATGAATCTTTATCAACAAATGGGGAAGCATAGAGAAATGAAAAATTTTAAACTATATAGGATCTTAGCAAATGTTGTAATTCTGCAGTGGAATTAAACATATATTGAAAGGAAGGCATAATGTTTTCTAAATGGGTAATTAACTCTTAGAGTTATTTTAAGGGAGGAAATATGCATGTACACAAGCGGTGTTAACAGAATTGACGTAGCCTTATAGAAACCCTTATTGGCTTATATGAAGTTGAAGGTAATGGAAATTAATGCTATTGACCCTGCTGAAGAATAAGACAATGAGCTCTTACTTCAAGTAAAAGGGTGATCTGTCGTATGGAAGTTGCCATGAAGAGTCTGAGTTCTACTGGTTATAAGTATGGCCTTTCGTGTAGGGCAGATATTCAAAAATACTGGCTAGACCTGTCTTGGAAAGTGGTTATCTCCTGACACTTAAGAAGAGTCCACGTTGGCCAGAAAAGCCAGGAAAGGATTCCCTAGTGAATTGGCATGCCTCCACAGCCTCTTCAGTCACAGATGCTATTACGGGAAGGTGATGGTGACTGTTGATTTTTAAATGAACAAATGTTAGCATTTAAGAAACTGAATCTCAAGGAAGTTATTTAACTTTCTACTCTGCTTTAAGACTAAAGGCATATGGTCACATCTAAATGGGGAGGTAGGATTCTGCAGCTCGTCAGCACATTTTCACCAAAGACACTAATCCATTACTTGTAAGTAGAGTCCTTGAAGGTTCAGGAATGATCAGAAAGTTGCTGTCATACTTTGTTACAATGCACAGCACAGAAGGGCAAAGAGGTTAGCTTATGTAACATTTTTGTTGAAACCCTCTCATCTTCAAGCCCAATACAGGCTACCTTTTCCATGACATCTTTCTTGATTACCAGACACAACTGCCCACTTTCTCCTGTAAACTCCCATATTACTTTGTACCACCCATTTGGCATGTATCACATTCTACCTTTTTTGTCTTTATCTCTACAGATCTTTTAATAGTTCCTCCCCACACCCTTCTAGCCTACTTAGAGACTTAAGCCCCTACAAAATACTAAAGGTTATTAATTTAATATGTTTGGTTATCTGGCTTCCCCAGATAGGCACTTCAATTATTTCAAACTTACAAACACTAATATAGTAAGGCACAACATTTAGAGGATTTAGGTGCCATTGTGTTAAGTGGTTTATGTGAATCATCTCATTTAATCCTCATAACTCTTTTAGGAAGATACTATTGTTACTGACATTTTATGGCTCTGTTCCAATCGTGGATGGCATGGAGCCATATAGGTGGGAAATAAAGTCTTTGTGTCCTTGCCATAGGCTGGGGGATAGAAAATGTGTCTTGGGGACATCTTTTATATACATAAATATTTACATAGATGTACTCATATAATCCTGTATAAATGAAGAAAATGAACCTCAGAGAAGGTAGGTAACTTTGCCAACATCACATAGCCAGTAAGTAAGTGCTGGGGCCATCACTTAAAACCAGGCAGTTTCTAGAGCACTCACCTTATACTGACTATGATTATAACTGCCTTATAAATAGAGGTGAAAACTTGAGCAGTGAACACTAAACATCAACCAGGAAATCAATACAATCCACTCAGTGCCTGGCATACACTAATAACTTTATAAGCATTTATTATTTTTTATTGAGAGGCCATGCATACCTTTACAAACTCAAAGCCATCATTTTATTATATAGCGATCAATTGTGCTCATTTGTTACAACTACCCTGGATCATCAAGAATAAATTAGATTATACTCAACATATGCTACTACTGAAGGCAGGAAGACCACTTTTATTTTGTGTCCCTCTCTCTCTTCTGAGTTCTAACGAAACGGGGAAGGGTAGGCAGGTACCACCACATAACTAACTGAGAACATATACTTCATCTGTGTTAATCTTTTCTCTCTCTGTATTAATCATGATCATGGTTCTCCAGAGAAATAGAACTAATAGAAGACATATGTATGCGAGTATGTGTGTGTGTGAGAGAGAGATATTTATTATGGGAATTGGCTCAGGCAATTATAAAGTCCAAAAGTACCACATCTGCAAACTGGAGAACGAGGAAAGCAAGTCCAAAGGCCAG